AAGAATGTGTGGTTGAAAATGAGAATTAATTTACTGTAAAAAATGAAAATCTGTACCAAATAGGCTCCTATTTTGGGGGAAGAAAATGAATTCTATAATAGTGATTGATTGAAGAATGTGTGATTGAAAAGTAATAAACAGTTTTAGATTTGTGTGTAATATTATTTTATTTGAAGAATATTTGGTTGAAATGAAGAAAAAGGAAAAAAATAAAAATGATAATGGGTGCCAAACATGACCATAATATAAGTTTCAAAATAAAAAAATTACGTGTAATAGATTATGCGATAATATATAAAATATATTATATTATTATAATAAACCGGATCAGGTCGTTATTAGGTCGAATTGACCTATATACATATTTGATTCATTTAGCTAGCGAGTTATTTGATTTGGACTTTGATCAAGTTATCGGATTGAGACCCTAAATTCATTTTCTATCAGTTTCATCTGATTCATATCAAAATCCAAACCATTGACAATCCTACGACGAAGTGGTTTTTCATCGATGACTTTTTTCAGAGAATGTGTTACAAAAAGTTGTGGGAAGACATTGAAATGGTTTTATTAGTATATGTGCTTAAAAATGAGTGGGTCGGGAATGTGATACTCAAAAAATCACTTTGAATTTTTATTTAGTAAATATATTCCTTTTTTCTTAGTTTACTATGATAGTGAGATTATGGATGCATATGCTTGTTTATAAACACCATTCAATTTTTTATATTCAAACAATTCTTCGAAAGAACTCTTTGAAGCAATTGTAACTTCAACTAATTACTTCTACAAAATTACAATGCATACTAAAAAAATGTTATGTGCTTTGCAGAAAAAATAGGATAGACATTGAACTCGATTTGAGTACAAAGATGAAGCAAACAACTTTATATGCACAATTTGAGAAAAAAAAATCGAATTTAATAAATAGAAATTGTCGAGTAAAAAATTATTATGAAAGGTATGTATTTAATTAGCTCTCCTTTATTTTCACTGGGCTCTAAAAAATTTTTAAAAAAGTTAATATATAAGAAGAAATTACACCTTCACAACGTCAACCCAATATTCGGTGGGAGAGATCGGTGGCGACCCACCTTACGACCACCACAACTGCCGGCCTAACAAAGCTTGGCGCTTCCACAAAGACCCTTCCTTCGCCGCCAACGCCTCTCTTCTCCCTCAAATCGTCGGACCACCACGACGATGTCACGGCTGCAGCGATACAAATCTGTGTTTTTTGTTTTTTTGCGTGGTGACCACCACGACGCGGCTACAGCAATCTAGATCTGTGGTGGGCTATGTTGCAGTTGAGTGTGGTTGCGGTGCGACGGTTGATAGTTGAGTGGTGCAGTGTAGTTTGTGTGGTGATGCTTTTTTTTTTTAGAGTGGTTACCATCGTGACGCGGCTGCAGCTATCTAGATCTGTGGTAGGCTGTGTTGCAGTGGAGTGTGGTTGCGGTGCGACGGTTGATAGTTGAGTGGTGCAATGTAGTTTTGTGTGGTGATGATGTGTTGACGTGGGTGTGGTTCCAGATGGGGGGTGGTGGTGCTGGGTCCTGTTGTTTTGGTGGTGGGTGTAGTGGATTAGGGTTAGGGTGGGACGCGACAAAGGTGGTGGTGGCAGCAGGACAAAAGTAATCTGTGACCATAAAATAAATTGTGTGACTTATAAATTTTATAATTTGTGATAAACAAATTGTGACTTCTAAAATTTTAATTTGTGACTGATGAACGAAACGTGACTTATAAAATTTTTCAACTGTGACCTGAAATTTTTTAAATTGTGACTAAATTGTATAGATTTGTGACCTTTATACATTTATTAATAAAATATATAATTAATTAATTAATTTCATAAATAAATTTTAATGAAAACCTGATTTTTGAAATTTAAAACCTCAAACTTTAATTTTGAAATGGTAATACTTAAAAACCTTATTTATGTATTGTTCCTAATATATAATGCACTAGGCGAGATTATTAGTTTGAAAAGAGCCGAAAAATTTTAATATTTGAGTTACTAATTTATCGAACGTTACTAGATTACTAATTTAGAGTGTGTTGGGTGGTGATTAAAATTAGATTTTTAGTATATTATGATAGAAATTTTTGAAATTTGTGGTTAAAAAGTTATGGGACCCATAAAAGACGTAATTAATATTTATTATTTGACTTTAACTTGAATTAAAATCAGATTTTAATTCAAATCAAACATGGGCTTGATACATTGGTCTGAAATGGGATTGGAAAATTTTATTACTTAAGCGAGTTGTTAATTTTTTGAACATTTACCCACGGAGGTTTCATTATGAACGAATTATTTTAATTTTGACTAGTAAAATGTGCCTAACATTATTATGCTAATAATGAAGTAATAAAATGAAACCTAAGTTGACGTTAAAATGAAGTAAAAACCTAAGTTGAAGTTAAAAATGAAAAATAGAATGAGGTGAACACCATGGGTGGACACGGAGCTTTAAAATTAGGGGCACAATCGAATTTGAAAGAAGTTGGAAGAAATTTTACAATCGAAATTTTACGTTCAAAAAAATCATACTCCGTTTAATTTTACATCCGAAAATTTACATGGAATATAACTTTTTCGGATGTAAAATTTCGAAATTTTTTGATATTATATTCCATATAAAATTTCCTAATAAAATGATGAAAATTACATTG